TCAAAGACAGATTTTGCTCTGCCACCTGTTTTACAATTTCACTCGTTACCAGCAACCCTGTTATACAGACTGCTCCAAATCTCAAGTTTCCTGGAAGTAAAAGTCAAAATTAGCCTTTGCAAAGCCACCAACTTTAATAGATTTTTAAAAATACATTTAAGTTCTGGTTAGAAAAATTGCTTTTAGTTACATTTTATTGACTAATGATTTCCTCTCACCTCTTCCATATCAACAACATAACATTTCTAATTAACACCCATTTTGAAGCCAACTAGACAAATTGACCATTTCTTTAACATTTATTTCAAGTTTTACCCCAGCCCCAGATTCCCCTTGGGAAAGGTCTTTGGTTTTCTATCATCTTCTATTGCTGGGTAAAAGACCCACAGAAACAGCAGAAACCAATTGATCAGGGGAAACCAATGATACAGACTATGCAGTGTTAGATGCACAAAGGAAACAAGAAAAAGGGACAAACACTGTCTTCCAAGTCTCTCCTAAATTATTCATAATCAGGCAGGGTGGATAATTTTTTATTAAATCAGACTTTAAATACTTTTTTTTAAATGAACCTATTTTAAATTAAATTTGAAATTATGATCACCTATGCTAAAGGTACAAATTTACTGTAACCTATTTAATTCATTTAAGTTACATTAATATAGAATATTCATGCAGTCCAATTTGTTGTCAATGATTTAAAGACAAATGTCAGACCACTAGCCTGCCTGGTCAAAGTCACTAGCTAAGTACCAGGAACCAGATTTTGTTGAAGTGTGCTAACCCAACTTTTGACAGTAATAGCCTTGTGTGCAGGTGCAGAGAGAATAGTTTCTTCATTTCAGTTTATTCAGCTTGTTCAGTCTAATTAGTTCATTCAAAGCCGAGAAAGCAACTGAAAGTTGAAAAAGCATGAAAGTTTCTCTTCCAATTTATGAATAAAAATTAGGTCTGACAGGTTGAGATCTATTAGTTCTAAAGTCCAGAAGGACACAATGACCAGAAGGCATTAGTACAATTCACTTGTATTAAATTAAAAACAAAAAAACAACACAAAAAACCAAACACACAATCAGTTTTAAAATGCAAACATATCTGGTAACTTTTTGAATGTATCCAGCACATTTAAGGTAGTTCTATTTAACTAAAACAATTTTGAAGTGTGTGCGCGCGCATTTTTAATTGAATTCCAATTTCCATCCAAATATAGCTTGACACGGTAACAAAAAATATCTAGTAAATAAGAAATGCTTCCCTATTTAATATAAGAATTAATATGAATGATTAGCTATAACTGTTTAAATAAGTATATATAGATACAGTGTGTCATCCGACTTGCAAGAGAGTACCAAATTATTCTCAAAAGACTGGTATAACCTCTTTACAGAAAATAAAAAGTACAAATGCAAAACAAGATTGAAATCAAGACTTTTAAATCAAGATTACCTGCTCAGATTTAAACCATAATTAAAACTGGTGAATTACTGTACTTTAATTTGAAACAATCCACCCTGTAATCAGTTCCATTAAAATAAATAAATAAAATGAAAAAAAAAACCCACACACCACACACTGAGATCCTTCAAAAACAGATCCTAATATTGAGGACTTGGCTGAAACTCAATCAAGCTGATACCAGTAGAATGAGACATCCAACCGGAAGAGATGGCAAAGATATCAGTCTACAGGAGTTAGGATATTCAACCACCATTATAAGCTGAATTTATAACCTTGGGAGTGGGAGGGGAGCTGTCTGGCTAGACAGACAGCCAACTCTATGTAATGTAGAAGCAATGGTCAAAAGGGTATTTTACAACTTGCCCCAGATAGATAGGTACAGCCTTTTCTTTTGAATACAGATTTTAAGATCTGTGCTGAAATAGGGCATCCTATCAACAATACGCAATACCTGTGCTTTAGGACCTGCACTAGTTAAACAGTTCTCCTCTGGATGCACATTTAAATACTGGATTTTTGACCTAGAAAATCCAAAATGGTCAGAGACCAACCTACCTGAAAGTGCACCTTTCACTCA